GGCCGTCGAAGACGGCAGCGTTGACCCGACAAGGACAACGACGACGGTGACGGCGTCGGCGTTCTCCTTTTCGCACGAGGCTTCTACTAGTACAGCGGGAGTTTCTTCTTCGTCGTCCCCGCCGCCGCCTCCTCCTACCCCGCCGAGGGGTTTTCGCCCTGGGGAGGCGGTGTCTTCGTCTCAAAGGGTTGTCCCGTCGCCAACGTCGTCGCCGCCTGCTGCCGCTGCTTCGAGCCCCCTTTCTCCACCGAGGGTGATGTCCTCGCCGCCATCGTCCTCGTCGTTGTTGTTATCTCCCGCAACCACCACCGCGACAACCTCCCCCGCCGCCCGTGCCGCCGCCGCTGCCGCCGCTAGTCCTACCAAGGGAAAGGGAGCGGGCGGGGTGGCGTCAAGTCTGGGCGCGGACGACCTGCCAACGCCCCCGCCAAAGATGTACTCCTCCAGACAGCTGCAGCAGCAGCAGCAACAGCAGCAACAGCAGCAGAGGTTCTCTTCGCAAAGAGGGAGTAGTTTCAAGGTTAAGTCGGGCGGCGGCGGTAGCCCGGTGGTAGCGGGCGGTGGAAACGAGGACGCCATGGAGTCGGACCTGGACTTCATCAGGGAGCTGACGCGCTATAGGAGCGGCGTGGAGCGATCCGCTAGGAACGACGAGTGAGCTTTTCCGTCTTCTCTGGGTTGTGTGTTGAAAAACCAAGTTCCTCGATTTTGCTACATGAGGAAAAACTTCGATTAAAAAAAAATATGCCCTCCCGTTATTTTTCATGTTGTTAAAAAATATTTACCCTCTTGTTATTTTTCCCTTTGATTTGAAAAAATTGCCCCCTCGTTACTTTTCATGCTGATAAAAAGAAAATGCCCTCTCGTTATTTGTTGTCATTTGTCGATAGAAGCGTGCCGATATATTTACGGGGTGCGCTACATATCTGGACAGAAATAGATTGGTTGTATACGTTCCTGAAAAAAGGTGTTTGTTCCATATTTATACATATTGAGGGACGTTTGTATGTTTTTCGGTTTCCCACGTCAGGTACGAGTTCGCTCTCGTCTTGAACCCGAACGACGAGTACCGGGACGCGGTGGAGGTGCTCGAGCTTGCCTTCGACCTCGGGGATGGGGGGGGAGGGGTCACGACCAGCCCGCAGAAGCTGGACAAGGCGAAGCGGGTGAGGGAGAGCCTCGGGGGGCTTCAAGAGCAGCAGCAGCAGCAGCAGCAGCAGCAGCAGCTACAGCAACGCGCTTCTCCCGACCGCTGTGAGTTGTTGTTGCCGTTATAGTTCGCACTAAAAACTGTTACGGGCTCCGCTCTGTACTGGTCCAACTGATGCGCGGACGTCTTCAGTGGCCAACTAACCAAGGCTGGGTTTTCGTGGGGCGTGTTTTTCCGGGGGGGTGTGGGTGGTCCTAGTGGAGGCACGACGGATCTCGTTGAGACCCACCTCGATCGCAGCATGGAGTTGGGACGTCTGGAGCTTTATGTTCAAGTCGTTTTTGACGTGAATGCGATCGACACTGCTGTTGGCCATGGTCGTGTGCGCACAAAAGAAGAGCGAGATATGATACAGCAGTATAATGTAAAAACAGCGAGTTCTTACACGTGTAGCGACACATCACCGTTGATTTTGATTTTTGGATTTGTCTTTCACTCGCTCCCTCCCCTCCCCCCCCCGATCACCGGCACGTGGTTTCTAAGCCGGTGCGTCTGACAGTCCCGCGGGACTGTTCACTTCACAAAGCGGCCCGGGGAGCGGCCGCAAGGGGGGGGGGGGCCCCCCGGGGNGGGGGGGGGGGGGGGGGGTCCCCCGGTGGTGAGGCCCGGTCTCTCCGAGGGGCTTGAGGGGGTGGGTGGGGGGCGAAGGACGCGGCTGAGCTTGCTGGACGACCTTCAGGAGGAGGAGGTGTGCGCTGGGCGTTGTAGTGAAGCTTGGCCGTGTTTGATTGACACCATCGTCGGATGTTTTGTGTATTTGCTGCATGTATCACTGCTGGCGTTGTTGGTAGTCGTCGGGGTAGGGGTTGGGGTTGGCAGGTATATTGGCTCGATGGAATTTTTTTCACCTAACATTTTGTCACTTCTTGTCCCTCTTCTGCAATGACAAGGGTGAGTGGTGTATTGGTGCTTGAACTTGTAAACCTCATATTTACATATTAACAAATTCTCGTGATGGATTAGTTCTCCGAAACATCACATTTCACACCTGCGGGGCATTGGACTTTCTTGGCCTCCAAACGTCTTTGACATGCTTGTGGTGATACGTTATTTCTTCCTTGGTTTCGCTTGAACAGACGGCTGTTAGCGAGTCATACCGTCTTGCCTACTCTGAAGTAGAACACGGTTTCTCGACGACACATGCAATTCGGTTTGTTGGCCATGGGAAGGTTGTTCATCTCTACCGAACGCGCCAGCATCGAAATAATCTTATTTTGCGCAACCCCCTTCCGGTTCCTGTTTGATCAGTGCAGAATCAACAAGGTTTATTTATTTAGAGGAACTCGTTGGGGAAGGGCAATGCTCAATCAAGTG